GCAACGAATCCATCAATCATTAGTACCAGTTGCGTTATATGCATTGACGCACACGTATAGCATGTAAACGCAATCACCCACACACTGGTACATACATATACATTCACTTACGTTGTTTTTGACATGGATATCCGCACCCTTGGCCAGCAACAGCTCAACCACGGCCTTGTGTCCATTCAGCGATGCCACATACAGCGACGTCCGACCACCCTGTTACAACGAATCCATCAATTGTTAGCACCAGTTGCATTATACGCAGGGTTTTAAAATCGGTGCTCCACGCCCACAGTAGAGAGAGAGACCATTGCTGACGAACCTTTTCCAATCAACGAATTCGACGACATAGTTGAATCTGAGGTACGTTAATAGAACTTCAGGATAGTCATGTATATAAGCTGTACTTGTTGTATACTACGCCACGATGCAAACGCATTGGAGATAGCAGTGAACTCTTATTTCATGCGAGCTTGATTTTGTGGCTTTCGTTCAAGGATATAGATAGAGTAGCTGTTATTCTGAATCGATCAATCTGGCGGTCAGTGGTTCACGCAAGGCTTAGCATATCATTGAAATTAGACAATTATAAATGTAGTTGTAGCTGAAAACTCGTGATTCCAATAGCGGCAATAGGCTATGACCTACATTCACCAAGTAGGTGGTTGACTATTACATGCACATGATCAGCTAACTGCGGTACTTTTCTCACTACAGCGCCGAATGGTGTTGGGCGAAGTAATTTCGACTGAAACGAAGTATTTAAATCAGCTGCAGGTTATTGAGGAGTACAACGTGGCCCTCCGTGCGACCGATGTTTTAGCCGAGGAGCTAATGGATATTATAATACCCGAATGTGTAGATCAACTAATCGCTGGCCACACTGGGCTTTTGCAAGCCTTCGAAACATGTGCTATTGTCAACGATGGACAGCAAGTCAGCCTAATTGGCAATGAATTTCGCTCGGACTCTTCTGGTGAGTATGGTTCCGTAATTTACCGCAAATTGATTCGACCTGTAACGTACACATGTAGAAGCATTTCCAGTTCGAACCGAAATTTGGTTTTTGTGTTACCCGATGTACTGAGAAAAATTCCGCTTCACGAATGCAGCACGGTGTGGTTCAGCTCACTCGCTGTTGCATCTTTATTCCACATTCATACCCGGCTACAGCAGATTTCTGTACAAAGTCTTGTTTCGACACTCATCATATCTTTGCTTCGTCTCTTCATCGATGAGGCAGAGTTCTTGAAGTCATACGTCAACTACATAGCGGATCTGCAGCGATCGATAGTGTCCCTTCAACAACACGTCAGAGATAGCGAGGTTTTCGCAGCCATACTTGCGGATACGGACAAAGCTATGGAACAAAATTTAGGCCTCTCATCATTTTTGCTGACCCCAATCCAGCGTCTACCCAGATATGTGCTCTTACTACAGGTATCGTAACATAAAAATCTACTTGCTTTGATACAGTGCACTTCGTGTAAATGCAAGGATTGTAAGCCGTAATTGGATGTTTCTCACAAGGCTGAAGAACCATGAGTCTCGTGCATCAACGCGACGCCAATGTTAATGCGAAAGATCCAATACGTCGCTTGATCACCAAAAAAAAAAAAGCCTTATTTCTCTTTTATTGGATGTCTAGGCACTGTTATCAGTCACACCCAGGTACTGCGAAGAGCACGCCGCTCTACACCTGTCCCTTGCCCATATTGAGAGGGTATGATGTGTTTTATAGCACAAAAGCGATATACAATAATCGGGGTAACGGTAATTTAGCGTACTACACATAATTCTTGATCTGTACAATATATCACTTGGTATAATTTAAAAGGCATTTGCCACTGCATTTTTGTGTACGTGCAAGCATTATTTCATCCTTCCTATATTCGCACGCAGGCGTCCAATTCAGGCAAAGTATAGGTTATTCCGGCCAAGCTACTTATACGTCCTATAAAATGTAAAATGGTGCAGTTCTGCTGATATGCAATTGAATATACAATTTGTACATTTGATTGTGTGTCAAAGTCTGATACTATCGAGCTATTCCTTTTTACATGCAATAAGTTGGCGTAGTGTAGACGATCACTGAACCCCAAAAGTTCAATCCTCGCCCTGATTTTCGATTATATATAAACATAGTCTGTGATTTGGATTAACATCTCAGTGGACTTGGAATCGGCAAAGAGTTCTGAATAGGTGAACGGTGCAAAATTAAGGGCGAAAATATGCTGGATTGCCTTCAACTTGTAGTCAGCTATGAGTTTGTTTCATTCATTGTGAACGCTTTCGAACATAACTCTTGCTTACGAACTCACCAATGAATAATTTAATTTTTAAGTAAATATAAATCCTATTTGTTTTCCTTTACAGCTGTTAAAGTACATCAATCCTTGCTATAATGTACGAGAAAGCCAGCCAGCGCTACAAAGTCTGTATCGGAAAATGAAAACGTTGAATCAGAACATCCAGTTTGTCCGACTTAGGCTGTCGTAGATGGTTGCTGGACTAGTCAGTCTCCATGACACTTAATGGTGAAAGGCGGACGGGACGTTTGTTCTTGTTCAATGACATCTTATTGTTAGCGAAAGAGAAGAACAAAACCAAAGAGAGCGGTCAAATTAAAACCAAAAGGTGAGTGTGTTCATGTGCAAATAGCTTGCAACGCTTGCGTTTAATGCACTTGAGGGTGTAGCAGCTTAGCTGTCATAAAACATTTGGTTGGTTTAATCTTGAGATATTTCCTCTTCGTCCAGAAACAAAAGCGGATTTCAGGAGTTTGACATATCAATGCTAAATTCCGCGACAGTACACACGAATATCGGGACGAACCGGTGATATGCTGAATATACAGCTGAAGGGAGGCGATGTGGAATCCAGAGGAATCATTGTCGGCATGCGCTCGAGGGAAACAGTGTATTTGATGGTTTGGACCATGGCTTTGGATGTTTCTATGCCTTGAGAAGTATGTAGTTCTGTGCAGCGTAGCACGCACATATATCGGGAATGCTTAATATACAGCTGAAGGGAGGCGATGTGGATCCCAGAGGAATCATTGTCGGCTTGCGTTCGAGGGAAACAGTGTATTTGATAGTTTGGACCGTCAATGACGTTGAATGTTTCCATACCTTGGGAAGTATGCATATATCTGCAGTGTAGAATGGTCAGAGTACCGCTGCTCTCCATCAATATTGATGACCACAAATACACGTTCGGCGTGATTTGGAATGTCAATTTCAGTGAGCGCACTATTGTTTCTAGAGGTGTATGTGAATTTGCAACCAACACACAGGTTCGACAAAATGTTGTGCATGTCGAGATTCAATATCAATCAAGTGGGCTATTGAACGGCACCTCTCGTGCTAGATATTCACAGCATGATTGATGCCAAAACTCCATTATATTGAGAAAAGCGTGACAGATCAGTGCTAATGGGTGCATTGGAGAGTGAGATTTGAAGCAGTAGAGTATGGATATATCAATTTATTCCTATAGTTTGCATGTGCTGCTTTCATTAGAGATACCTGGCTCAAACACACCGTCCATGTCAAAACTGCTCTAATTGAAGAACAACTTATTTGTGAAACGTGAGTAGATATGCATTGATGTGATCAGATTCAGCAGTATCGATAGCCTCAAGGGGCCGTATCATGCGTGCCATAATATGTCCCAACACTTTAGATGGTGACAGTTAGGTGGAAAGCATCTTACACAGCCAACCATTGTGAAGTATAGCGAGCTCTGTCCAACAGTCGGAGAAACGCATTTCCTGGGAGGATAAGAAATATATTTGAGTACGACAACATAACCATGTCCAACACTAAAGAGTGGCAGTGCTGTCAAACTATTTATTGTCTAGTAGACGTATATGCCGAGTGGAAGAAATGAATCTGGTCAAAATGAAAAGGGGTTTAGAAAAATACATTTCAGCAAACATGGACAGAGTAAAATGGGAGACGTAGATCACATGACCGGATAGAACAGTTATACTTCCAAGCTTCTTTGTCAACAGTGGAAGAAAAAGTGATGAAATCGGGGTTGCAATTACTAGTGCAGCTACTGGTTTGCATGCTCGACATATAGTCAATCGCATCGATTTCAGAAATGAAACATGTGTGGAGAAAATAAACCAAGTCACCTGACTGCAAATATCTGCAAACACGTATATACATTCTTCCTGTTTGACTGCGACATAATAAGCGGGATGCCTAAACTGTTCATATGTTCATGCGTGAATAAAGGCGTACAGAAAAATTGACTGCACTTCTGGATTGGTATATATTTTACAAAGAAATACTTATAGACATAAATATATAAATATGTATATATATATATATATATATAAATATATAAATATATATATAAATTTGCATATATAGGTATATGTATATGCAATGCGTGTACGATTATGTATATGTATATATATACGTACATATATATA